AGCAGGAAAATGTCCATTGCAGGAGTTGGAAGAGGTTTTGTATTTGTTCCAGCAGTATCAGTACAGCCTAGAAAGGTAGTTGTACAAGGCAACTGTTGCTAAGACATGCAATGCAATGGCTACGGCTCCTCGATTCAATTCAAGGCTCTCATGGCAAAGCTCACCAAAACGTGTGCGCATTAGCTGGGTATCAACTGGAATATCCTGACAGGTGATCACTAAACACACTAAGCCCCCTCTCTAACTTCCAGGCATCACTAGAAGGGAAAAATCCCCAAGACCTATCACATACCAAAAAAGCATTAACCGAGTAAGTAAGCAGGACAGACCACTTATACAGGAAAACAAAAGAAATAATCCACCACTTGGCTCTTCCTATTGCAGCTCTAAGAAAATCACCATTATCAAAGTGACAGAGAAGTTGCAGGATGCTGCAGAGACTCACTAACGCTGGCTGTTTTATTAGACCAGCCTGCCTGCCAAGGCCCTGGCCAGCTGTGAACCAGTATAAGTACAAAGACAGCCAAACACACCTGGTTCCCCACACTAAAAGGTCCCCATTTGCTTTATACTTACCCTGGTGTAGCACCAGCGGTGCTATAAGCTGTTCTATACAGCTTACTTTTTGGTTTTATGATAAATGCCCAGAACTGTTATCTTTTTTCCTGCTTAATAACAACAGATCATCCACACTAGAAAGCCACAAAACACAAGCCTCATTTCCTCTTTGGCTATGCTGATGGTAGTTTCTAACTCTGTGGACACCCTTTCAATAAACCTTCACTAATCATTTTTCGATGTAAAATGGAAGTCCCAAGCTACACAGTCAAGTCTCAGAAGTGTAGGAGATGATTTTTTTGCAGAGCTCTTAATATCTTAAAATGGTACCGACGTAGCCTAAAAAGGTAGTCCTACATAGCAACTGTTGCTAAGATGGAGTATTTTACTGCAATGAGATGGCCAAGACTTCTAGACTAGGAAAAACATTTGATGACTGCATTGTTCATCTTCCTAGAAATACACCTGCATGCTTTCTGGAACACTAACCACATGCGGTCTCATAAACCTCCTTAACAGTTCAAAATTTTGTATTTTGGTTCGCTTCAATATTACACTATCATGAATATCAAACACACTATCAGTTTTAGGCATTGCAAAAGCATCAAAGATTTCTCCTTATCCAAACCAAGATGGAGATGCCACAATGATCCAATAGTTCAATGGATAAAAAAGTATTACACACTGTTTACCCAACAGGTCTTTTAATAAACTGACTAAGCTGCACTGCCTTTGGGCAGAACAGGTAAGGCAGCTATTTAAAATAAAAAAAAAAGAAAAAGAAAAGAAAACTAGAGGAAAAAAAAGTCATTTACCACATAAAAAACACCACTTCTCTATGCTTAGATTTAATGCTGAACATAACAAGTCCATCTTGACCTAACCCATTCCCCGGTATCATATTTAAAACACTCAACATGACAACTTGACAGCATTTCAAGCGCAAGTCTCCAGATTAAAAACAGCTTACGAGCTTATCTTTATGTAATAGTTTATTTCTAGAGAACATTTTTCTTTGTATTTCTTTGTATTGCAAAAAGTTACACAACACATAGGCATTGTAAAGCCTTGATTTTCAGGAACTGAGTATATATATATTTAAAAACAGACCTATGTTTCTGCCCGATAGTGAACTGAATTTAAGTCTCTTGCTATGCGATACAGAAGAATAACAGGTTTCATGAGGAATAGTCGTGTAAAACTCAGGCTGGC